GAGAGAGAGAGAGAGAGAGAGAGAGTGTGTCCGTTCATCTTCCAAAATTAATCACCGTTGATGTCACTCTGAAAACGCTAACAAACTGACGCTCCCTTGATCTCCGTGTCTGTGTTGCCCGTCAAAAACTTCGATGGAGGACGGCCCTTTCAATTCTCCAGCCCAGAGAGTAAAAGCCAACGTGCTCGGCGTGCGTCGAGAAGCAAATGACGAGTAAAGTTCTGTCATTAAAGCCTCGGAATCGCCGCGACGAAGTTGCGCGAAACTAAAAGTCGAATTCGACGGGCCGGGATACGTCGGATCAAGGTGTAGAGAGGGTTCGAGAGAAGCTGAGATCGAAACTAGGGGGAGAGTAATCATTTGAATTGTGTTTAAAACTGTGTTCGTTACTTTCCGTGCTAATTCTCGCTGCCTCGATTTCTCCTCTCGAGGCGGTGACTTTCGTTTCGTCGCGATTGCTCGCGATTGTCGTAACGTCCGATGCTCCCACGACGGTGGCAACCGCGTTCCCCGTGTTACGAACTAAACTGCAACAACTATCGTGCAATTATCATCAAGTCGGTTAACGCGTGGCTACCGCCGGCTGCGTGTCAATCTCCACGAGATCGTAATATCCGCGTAAAAGCCTCTTGCTTTTGCAAGTGGAGTACATCGAAACGTATTCGGAATGTATCGCGGAATTCCGCCACGTTGTTGTTAACAAGGATGTTGCAGTTCACATCCGAGCTAATTCAATTTCCAAGTGTCTTCGCTCGTTTCCACGTCCGCCTGCTTGCTGGCGGAGCCGTTGAAGCTAACTAAACCGGAAAGGATGCTTTTTACTCGACAGTATTAACTGTCGATATTGACCAGCCATCGTAGCTGTTCGCCGCTGGTGATCGAACTCGAAGCTAGGATCGGTAATTTTCACCGGACGGTAGAGATCAGCCGTGGTGGACTTTATCGGATAAAACTCGGCTGAAGAAGCACGGAGAAGCCGCGATCGAGCGGTCGGTCGAGACTCCTCTTCCTCACTCCCCCCCTCCCGAAGAAAATGAGATACCTTAATAAGGCGCCGTTTCCGGCTGTAATTACGCGTTCCAACTTCCCGCTAGCTGTTTTCCTGCTGCGAGTAATTAGAATACCGATAGCTTCACTGGAAGATCTGTTCCTCTCCCCTCCGGCCGAAATCCTTCTCTTTTTACTTCCGGCGTAGGAATGCGT